ATATTTTACGATAAATGTTATTATGAAAAATATAAACTATAATTATTTTTTAATAATTAATAATTTATTATATTTTAATAGTAAATAAAATGTTATTAACTGCTCTGACACTAATTATTAGAGATTTAACGAGTTCAATAAACTATAATAAAATTATATGATTTAATAGAATCTAATAATACAATTAACATAATGAAATAATAATATTAAATATGGATAATAATTAGTTTACCTCTATCCACATACTTATTATCGGATATTGTAAAGGCGAAGACTTCTCTCTCAACTCAATTTATTCCATTTGTAAATGTCAAGATTCGAACTTCTGACTTTACTTAAGGGATATAGTGTCTCACCCTACTAAATCAATTAGTTGTTGGTATCTTTAATCAAACTTTTGGTATAACCACTGGTTTTCGATTTATTTATCGACAAATCCATATCAGGTACTGCAGAGATAATGATAACCCTCCCTTTAAGGAAAATTCTAGAACTCACGTCGTACACCGAAACACACTATTAATGTGATACCACGATGCACACTACTAACTAAATTGTCTTTATTACATAAATATGAAAAAAATATAATAATCTATCCATAATTATATTATTATTATTAAAAATTATAATTATTTCGATAATTATTATTTCTATATTTTTTATTTGTTTATGATTGGAACCATTCATTTATATAAATTTGCATATTCATCTCAAGAATAATCATCAGAATCAACCGTCGGTGATCCTATTCATCGCCGGAAGATCATGTATTTTTTCTTTCGGCAGAGTAAATTGAATCTTATTCCAAATTAGATATGGACTACACCAAAAATTGCACCAAGTCTAAAAAGGGCATTCAAAATTAAACCTAGACCTTCCAGGTTTTTGCATCTTACATTCTTCTGTTATTTCCTACCCTATGAGAGATGCATCTGAGGCTTCAAAATTGCATAAAGTGAGAAAATTATACAGCCATCCCTCTAGATTCAGCTTCAAGATACTTACAGATTCTCTCCATTACCTCTGTACCCTTCACGCTATTTTGCATAAACCTCTCGGTACATCGTTGCTCCACTTTTTCAGCCATGGATGCCAGAGCCGATAATGACTTAATACGAAGTTTCCACCAATTTTTAGTTGCTTTATAACCACCCCTCTTCCAGCTGGTAATCAACCTTTATAAACAACCTCAAATTCATCTTCACCCAAAGATTACGGTCTAAAAAAATATTTGTAATCTCGGTTAACTCTTCATACGTAAGCAATGACTTCAAATTGCCTAAACCACCGGGTTCTGCCATTATTGGTGGTGAATTCACAAAATCACTTCCGAAACTAATTCCAATAAGAGGATGTGAAGATTGTGTATTTGTATAGGATGAATCTCTAAACATGTAACATTGATCAAAACAGGAGTTCCAATTACATATAAATCGAAAATTATCAACAATTACTTAAGTAACTGAATAAATTAATATGCAGTTGTGAAAATATTTACATGATCTTGGGAAGAGCTTAGTGGGGATGGCATTACATAATCATAGGTAAGTAACACGATTTTTCGGCATGTATAGGATCGTCGGCGGTTAGTTTAATGGTTGTTATTGGGATGAATATGTAAACTTATATAAATTAAGTGTTCAAATACCAAGAAAATAAAAAATCCTAAAATAACTATACTTTCTAATAAAAAAATATAAATTTAATTACATTCTTGTTAAAAATTAAATTAAATAATAATAAAGAATTAATTGTGGATATGTTATTATATTTTTTAATATTTATTTAATAATGACAGTTTAATTAATCTTGTGTATCGATATATTACATTAATAGTGTATTTTAACGTGCAACGTGCACTTTAAGCTCATCCTCCCTTTAATCAAACTTTGATACAGAATCATAATAATATTGTTTTCACATTTTTTTGTATGTTACTATTTGATGACGAGAATAAGACGGGGAGGTAAAAAAATATTGTCTTAACTAATCATCATATTCCTTTTATAAGAAAGGCGATAATTAAAATCCTAAAATTTTAATAACTTTATTATCCAACAATCATCGTAATGGACCATTTCTAATAGAATCGATGCATAATTTATATATACCATTTTAATATAAATTGTATTAAAATAATCTAATATTAAAATCATTTAAAGGATAAGAGATAAGGATGAATCGAAAGAGTGGAAAGAATAATCGTCTCTTTAAAAAAAATTAAATTCTAATATATTTTAAATATATTTTTTATTTTTTATTAATAATATATTTTTTATTAAAATATTATAAATTCTTCACACTTAAAATTTTATAAACTCACTTTTGACATAAAATTCTAAATTTTTCCTTGATAACAAAGGTATCTCATTCTTGAGATAAGAGTTTGTAGTCAGGGCAGGAGAACACAAAATTTCATATTAAGTGAGCGAATTTATGAAATTTTAAGTAAAAAGAACTTATATATGACCCAGCTTATTTAAAATTTATTATATTTTTAATTTATTATTTTAAATATTTTTATTTAATATATTTAAAATAGAATAAATGTAAAATTAATGATTAATAAAAACAAAAGTAAAGGTCCCCAATCTATATGGAACTTAGTAGGGGGCGACAAGTTCGTTTAAACAAAGTCGTATCAGACTGACAACACAAGGCGGGGCATTCTGTTACTTAATAAACTCTTTAACAAGTTTAACTAAAAGGTGACTTAATTTCATTTTCATTTAGGATGAAGTAACAAATAAGTCCCCAATTATAGAATATTATTTTGTTGAGTCATTCGACTATTAAAAATTATAAAATAGTCTCTCGACTATTACAAGTTATAAAATGGTCACTGAACTATTTATTATGACCCAAACTCGTTCTTTTCTGTTAAAAAATTACGATCGTAAAAGTTGGATGTTAATATGTTAACTGAGATATAATAGTCGTTTGAGATTATGTGATTGCATTTTATCATATCTCAGTTAGTAGGTTAATGACCAGCTCAGATTGTCGTTTATTTTTTAAACGAAAAAAGACAAGTTTCAAATATAGTTCATTTTTTAAACGAAAAATGACAAGTTTCAAATATAATGAATGATCGAGTGACAATTTTGTAACTTTTAATAATTGAGGGACTCAACAAAACAACTCCTTATAGTGGGGGACCGTTTTATAGTTTTTAATAGTTGAGTGACTGAACAAAATAATATCTTATAGTCAAGGGACCATTTATATACTTTATCCTTTCATTTATTTATTTATGGGTTTAATGAAACACACACAATTAAGCAGACAAAGTCTACGTGCATGCCAAAGGTTTTGTTGTAAGATCAGTTGCCTTACGTATTTTATTCTAACTCCAACTCTAAGTTCTTCCATCCCTAAACGTTCCCTTTTAGAACCCAATTACAAATTGACAACAAGAGAAGAGAGAGAGTTAGATTTAGGTCAATTTCAAGGAAATAATTGAAGCGGCAGAGACAGATGGTTAGGCATTAGATTTTTTATTACAAACGCTCCATTTTCAAGTAGGATTGTAAATGAATCGAGTCAAGTTAAATATTGTTGAGCTTAACTAGATTTGAAAATTTTAAAGATGGATTCAACTTGAACCGAAAGTTAAGAAGTTAAAAATTTTCAAGCTCAATTCGAATTTAAAATCAAAAATTGAAGTTCGACTCGAATAAAAAGTTCTCAAGCTTAAAATTTTTAAACTCGACTTGAAATTAAAAATTGAAGCTCAAAAAAAACTAAGACTTGACATATTTTTAAATTTTACTCAATTAAAGCTCATACTAGAGCTTGTTTCAAGTTTAAACTCAAGTTCAAGCCAGAACCGTAAGTACATGAAAATCTTATATTGTATTTGAAAAATATATCAATGTTAATATTATTCATAATTTAATTTAAAAAAGTTAAAAAAAATTAATATATTAATTTTTAAATTTGCTTGCGAACTTTTCGAGCAAAGTATCAAGTAGTTCGCTTCAATTCATTAAGAACTTGAGTCGAGTTTGAATTTAAACCGAATCTATTTGATTTAAATATTAAATAAACTTTAATCGAGTCAAATTCGAGTAACGCATCCTCAGTCTAGTATCATTCCCCATCATACTTTGAGTAAAGTTTTTTCTCCCCCATTTCTTAAGTTTATAATTTAAGGGAATAATTTTACCAAAAATTTTCATATTTAAGTTTTAAATTTTAAAAATATTAATTATGTTAAAACGGTGATAATGCGTCAATCAAATTTTGTGTAGAAAATAAATTTTTTATTTTTTACTGATATGTAAATTTTCTATATGAATTGATATTTTGTTTTAAGATGGTGATTGAAGCTGTATGGTATAAATTAGAGTGAGCGTTTGATCGAGTCGAGTAAAAAATTTTAAGTTATTCGAGTTAACGGGTTTTATTTTATGTTTAACTTAAAAAATTTTCGAGTTGAGTCGAGTTGAATTTTCGAGTTTCTGTTTAAATTTAATTGTAAATATTTATAATATTATTATATTATTTGATTCTAATTTAAATAGTTTTTTATAACTATATACAATACATATATTTTCTTTATATTTTTTCTGTATATGATATTATATATTATATAGAGTCAATGAACTTAACTCAAACTTAAAAATTAATTCAATTACTAAAAGTTTTGAATAATTTAAGTTACTATTTAAATTATTAGAGTTGTGTTTTACTACTCGATTTAAACTTAAATTTTTTTAAATCAAATAGAATTTATAAAATTATAACTTAAATTCAATTTAAATTTTTTGGAGTTGACTTCAGTAAAAAGATCGATTTTGAGAGAGAATGGGGGAGGGAGGTTGGGGGATAATTAAATAAGAAGAAATGTTGGCAGGCAAAAGTGATTTTAACAATTATTAGCTGCAAAGTAAGTTCAGTAAAAAGATCGATTTTCAGAGAGAGAGAGAGAGAGAGAGGGGGGGGGGGATAATTAAATAAGAAGAAATGTTGACAGGCAAAAGTGATTTTAACAATTATTAGCTGCAAAGTAAGCCCCCCTGACAACAAAGCATCTCCATTTGTTTTTGCTTGATCAATCTCATGATTTCAACTTTCTATCTCTCATAATCATCATCTTCATCATCCCTGGTAATCCTCGTCTCCATCTCCATTCATTTGTTACCTCTCTCTCCCTTACTTTATCTTTCTTATTTATTCTGTCCTTTTCTTTTTGCAGATCGGTTTTCTCAGTTAATTATATTATACCCTTTCATTCTCTCTTTCTTCTTTACTGCTGCTAGCTCAGAGTGCCTCTTTTTTCCATTGCTCGCAGTTGAATTATCCAGAAACGAAAACATTTTTTTTCTTATAATTAAAATTCCCCAATCTTGAAGAGGGCACAGTGCAACACTAACTCTTGTAAGTTTACTGAGTTGCCAGTTGTCTCTTTTACTTGCTGAGTTTTAAGAAATCCTTCCATTGTATATATCTATTTAACATCACCAAATCTCTCACCCTATTTCATGTTTTTTGTTGAATAGGATTAAACCCAGTTTTTTTGGTTCTTTTCATAACGTGTACATCATCGGCAAAACGGAGCGGTTCCCCCCTCTCGCAGCTGTGTGGGGGAGGAGCACAAGACGGAGGGAATTGAAATGGATTTTGAATATGGTGTTTATAATTGACGAGAAGAAGTCGAAACACCTTTCATTCTACATTCATAGTACTATTGGTGGAAAAGAAGTGGATTTAGATGCAGCAAGGAGGAGGAGGGTATCAATCGCAATATGGGGAGATGAGTGGTGGTCCGACGAAGGATGCAGCGAGTAGCAGTCAGATGGCGAGCGAGCAATCAGAGCAGTTGGAAAAGGCATCTCTAATCAGTTACAGGCCGCCAGCCATTGGGAATCCCGATGAGTTGACGAGGTTCGCAAGTGGCGGTGGAGATGAGGAAGGCGGCGGCGGCGGAGGAGCTGGAGCTTCATGTGGCAATAGGTGGCCCCGTCAAGAGACTCTTGCGATTCTCAAGATTAGAGCAGATATGGATGCCGTCTTCCGTGACGCCACCGTAAAAGGCCCACTTTGGGAAGATGTTTCCGGGTACTTCCTTCCTTTCATGCTGTTGATTTTCCATTTTCTAAATCAGATTGACCAATTCAAAAAAAAAAAAAAAAACTGTAAACACACATTGCATTGTTCTCCAATGAGCTTAATTGTTGCAGTGAGATAAGATAAACGCACATGGTTCCTATCTGTTTCAAGGTACTCAGATCTGCTTGCATGAACTCTTCTTTTTCTTTTCTTTTCTATTTATTTACTTACTAATAATAGCATTACTCCATTATTTTGAATTAAAAATTGTGGGTTTCTTAATCATTATCAATTTCAGTTAGAACTTGAGAATTCGAAGGTATCCAATTTGAGGTTTTATATATATAAAAATAAATGAGTCTAAATAAATCAAGGCAAACTCCGAAACCGAACTAGAAAAGGTTTAAAATATGACTCCACCCACTGTCTCTTTGTCTGTGTTTCTCTTCTGAGATGGAGTGAAGGGGAGGTTGGTTTGGGCAATTATCCATTAATAATTTAAAATTATCGTATATTTTAGATTTTGTATTAATTTTTTATTGAAAATATGGTTTTATCTTTCAGAAATTTTACTCCTTTTCACTATCATTGGTTATTATAGGGAAATTACTTTGGTGCTTCTTATTTGTTCAAGCTATGGAAGCAATATATAATTGATTCATTCATCATTTTGATATAATACAGAAAATTAGTAGTATTTGATTATTATAAGGTTAGCAGGAAGCTAGCGGAACTGGGTTACAAAAGGAGTGCCAAGAAGTGTAAGGAAAAATTCGAGAACGTCCAAAAGTACTACAAGCGAACAAAAGATGGCCGAGGTGGGCGTCAAGATGGTAAGAATTACAAGTTTTTCAGCGAGCTAGAGGCTCTCCATACAACTTCAGCCACCGTCACACCTGCCACCGCCGTTTCCTCCTACAGCCTGGCCGTGGCTCCCATTTCTGTTGGGATCCCTATGCCCATCTCTTCTGTTAGAATTCCACCTGCAAGTACAACTACCACTACTATCCCAATGCCCTTAGCGCCTGGATCTGCGCCATCCCCTCCTATCACCGGCACAACCACTCCGTTTGGAATCAGCTTTTCTTCTAATAGTTCTTCGTCCTCTCAGGGCTTCGAAGACGAAGAAGAACTAGGAGGGGAACCATCGGATATGGCCGGTACAAGTCGTAAACGTAAAAGGCATTCGTCGTCTAGAGAGGGTGCAGGGAGTAGTGGTAGCAGCATGAGGAAGATGATGGAGTTCTTCGAGGGTGTAATGAAACATGTAATGCAGAAACAAGAAGCGGTGCAGCAAACGTTTTTAGATGCCATGGAGAAGAGAGAGCAAGATAGGATGATAAGAGAAGAAGCTTGGAAAAGACAAGAGATGGCAAGATTAGCCCGCGAACATGAACTCGTGGCTCAAGAACGCGCCATTGCTTCTTCTAGGGATGCTGCTATTGTTTCCTTTTTGCAGAATATTACTGGTCAGACGATACAATTACCTCTGCAGACACAACCAACAACACCAGTTGTTCCACCGCCGACCCCAATTCCTTCAACGGCAGCTCCACCACAGCATCAACCACCGCAACACCTACAACGGCAACAGCAGCAACAGTCACATTCGCAACATCAACAGCAGCAGCAGCAGCAACAAGAACATTTGCAACATCAACAGAAGCAGTATCAACCACAAAATACTGAAGTTGTGAAGCATCAAAAACAGCGTATACCTTCGGAAGCGATCATGGCTATCCCGGAACAAAAGGTGGCACCACAGGAGATTGGTGGGAGCGAGAACATGGAGCCTGCGTCGTCCAGATGGCCTAAAGCTGAGGTTCTGGCACTTATAAACATAAGGAGTGGACTTGAATCCAGATACCAAGAGGCCGGTTCCAAGGGTCCTCTTTGGGAAGAAATCTCCGCCGGTATGAGCAGGATGGGATATAAGAGAAGTGCCAAACGATGCAAGGAAAAATGGGAGAACATCAACAAGTACTTCAAGAAAGTCAAAGAAACCAACAAGCAGCGTCCCGAGGATGCCAAAACCTGCCCCTATTTTCACCAGCTCGACGCCCTTTACCGTAAAAAGATACTTGGTGGTGGGACTAGCGGTGGTTCCAGTAACTTCAGTGACCAAAATAGGCTTGAAGGGGAAACATCACAGCCTAGTGACGCCCCACCAATAATGCGATCGCCGCCATTGACGCAGCAGCCTATTCATGATCAATCTGAAAACAAAACCGGAGCTACTGTTGATGATGCACTGCCAAGTAAAGAAGGTTCAAAGGGGAGTCTCTTTGGGAAAGGAAAAGGTAGAGCTGCAAAGAAGGTAAATTTAATTTCTTTTATTACATACCACCATGCTAATTCACCACCCACCTTTTAATGTTTTCAATTACCATTTCATTTTGATTCTTGGGTTGGTATAGAAGTCAGAAGATATTGTGAGGGAGCTGATGGAGGAGAGGGAGATGCAGTAGCAACAGCAGCATCCAAAGGATGCATACATACATACATACAATCGTAGGTGGTGGATAGCTATGATCTATAAGGTTGACCAACCTTATAGTGACAAAATAGATCATGAAGAGGATGATGGGTTTATAAAGATTTAAATTGAAAGGCAAAGTGCAAGCTGTGGAGGAATTGACATGCGCTTCCATCCTATGTACTTATTGGTTCAGAAGTTTTGTTTCTCTCCTACTTCCTGAATAATTTCAGTATCATCATTGTTTTATCTTTCTTTTTTTCAGTTCATTTATTTGTTGGTGAATAAGGAATTCCGTTTTCAAAGGGAAACGAGAAGATAGATTGAATTGAGACATGTAAAAATAAGCTTGGGTTTTTGGTATACCATAGAAATGGACGAAAATATAGAGGGAAAGAGATGAAAACAATGATCACAATTTGTTAATGGCTCTTTCCTTCTGTTTTCTTTCAAGTTTTGTGATTCTTTTTGGCATAAAACCAAAAATAGCCCCCAAACATTTATTAAAATGGTCATTTGGGCCCTTATTATTTTTTAGAGTATTTTGACCCCATAACAATTCAATTACAGGCAAAAAGTTCCCTATATAGACAAAAATCATTAGTTGACACACGATTAATACTTCAAAATAGGAGTCATTTTTAACCTAAAATAAAATGTTGATGGCTAAAATGTCCTTGAAAAAAAAGGGATAGTGATTATTTTATGAAATGTTAGGATTTTTTTGCTCTAAAATGAAATGTTAAAGGCTAAAATACTCCAAAAAATAGAATACCAACAAAATGATTATTTTGATAAACGGGGGTTAATTTTTTGCATTATGCCATTCATTTTCCTTCTTTTTATACCGATCTTATATATTCTTTGTTGCTTCATGCCCTTGAGTTCAATGACTAGTTACACTTCCTTTTTACTATTGTTAAATTTTGATTAATTTAGAGTGTTATCCATAAGTAAAAACACGCACTAATAATTATCATACAATATTTTAAAAAATATTAGAAGTTTAATAGAATAAATGAAATAAATGTCATTGGCGACTGTGTACAGATTGTTCCTAATGGGGTAGGAATATTGCATGTGGACAACTATCAGCACTAAACGCATGTATTGGCATATTGCTCTTCATAATTCCACGTTGCAATATTATTCACCTTTGCCAGAATCCCAAATAAACTAGGTGGTATATATAGGGAGAAGTTTTGTTGTACGCCAATCTAATTTAAGATTAAAGAATGAAAGGAATAAGTGTAACCGAAAATATTATAAAAAGTAATATTTTCGATTGAGTGCAACCTAAAATGTTAACTTTTTAACATTTTTGGTTGTGCGCAACCTAAAATGTTAACTACTTAACATTTTTTGATTGAAGCAAAAATGTTATGCAAAATGTAACATTTTCTGTTGTAAACCGTAAATGTTATGAAGAATGTGTGTAATCGAAAATGTTATGAAAAAGTTAACATTTTAAGTTACGCCTAACTGAAAATGTTATGCTCTTTTATAACATTTTTTCGATTGCATCGTTCCTTAGCCTTAAATTATGCTGTTGTCCTTTAGACATTCCTATCTATAGGCGACGTTGCTTGCTTTTTTTAGTCAAATGATGACACATGTCTTAATGTTGATCATCAATCGTATGTATTCATCATTTTTTCTTTACTCTCTTATATGAAAATCATTAGTTAACACACGTTCCAAAGTGAGCATTTTTTAACCTAAAATGAAACGTTAAGGACTAAATTGCCCTAAAAAAAGAATAAGCGATAAAGTGATTATTCTGTCAAATGTTAGAGGTCTTTTTGCCCTAAAATGAAATGTAAAAGGTCAAAATACTAAAAAAATAGAATAGGATCAAAATGATCATTTTAATAAACGTTAGGAGCTAATTTTGATATTATGTAATTCTTCTTCCTTCTTTTTATCCCGATCTTATATATACTCTTTGTTGCTTCATGCCCTTGAGTTCAATGGGTGGTTGCCCTTCCTTTTTAGTTTTTACTACTGTTAAATTTTGATTAATTTAGAGTGTTATAGGTAAAAATACACACTAATAATTATCATAAAATCTTTTTAAAAAATTAAAAATTTAATAGAAAAATAAAATAAATGCCATTGGTGACTGTGTATATATTGTTCCTAATGGGATGAGAATATTGCATAGGACAAGTAGCACCAGTTAACGTATATATGGCACAATGCTCTCCATAATTCTACATTGCAATAATATTCCCCTTTGCCAGAATCTCAACTAAACTAAGTGGTATCTGTAGACACCCATTTTGTCCAGATTATTATTATTATTACTACAGATTGTTTTTACAGACCCACACCCTAGCCCTAATTACATCCAAGCCCAGCTGGTTGGATGCCCAGATGTAGCCCATGCTGCTAGGGTTTGAAGAAACCCTAGTCTCCATCAAGTCCCAGTCACCATTCACTCTGGACGGTCAGATCTAGACCCATCCAACGGTCCATATATGGATTGATAGGTGTTTTTTTGTTATTATTTTGCTTCTCAATTGCTCCTTAATCATTGGTTTTTGTGGCTGATTTGTTTAATTTGATTCATTTTCTGTGCAGGATAATAGATTATGGAAATTGTACTAAAAGGATATAATTATGTAGTTTTTTTTATTTTCGGAATCAAGGCTGGATTAGTGGGCATGACTCTGGGCAAGACTCATCTGACGAGGTGATGAGTCAGCACCTTCTAGAAGGTTCACTCAGTGCTTCTAGAAGGACGAATGGATCAACCACACGTTTCTGCAATTCAAATTTGAGTTAAACTCATGTTTTTAAGATATTAGTTTAAATATTATATTTTATCTTATCTTTTTTTAGTATTTTAGTTTAAATAGTTTAACGGGCTAGATTCTCATTGAGGCAACATAGTCCAAGTCGTGTTTTTCCATATCTATAAAACAGGTTGGTGCTAACGACGATAGTCGTAGTTAGTCTCCATAAAGGACTGATATCCAAAAATAGGTTTTGGTTTATCGGTTCACAAGAGAGAAAAATGAGTTACGGGGGTTGAGCCCTGAAGATTGTAACTGGAAAATAATCGAAGCAAAAATCTATTCCGATGATCAACAGGAATTTAAGGCAAAGCTAAAATCAAAGGCTAATTTCACTATAAGTTTCTCTTTATCTCAATCTCTTTAAATTATTTATTTAATTATTTTCTTTTATTTAATTCTTATAGTTTTTTTAAAAAAATTAAAACACCCCATATAATCTCATCCAAAACACTACCTTATCTCATCTTTTTTCTAAATCAGAAAGTTCAATTCATTAGAAACTCCAGAGTCCTTGTGGACCGACCCTACTTGCCTATTATACTCTCTCTCTCTCTATTTATTTATTTATTTTTAAGAAGCCGAAATTATTTTGACAGTAAAACGACACATGTCAAAATTGGGGTCGCTGTTGAAGACTTCGACAACAGTAACGATAAAGTTGTTTATTTTTTATTAATTACCAAAAGTAATCCAAGTGATTTGATAGAATTTGATCCAGAAATCAAAGCTCGAGCCAGATGAATTCACCCAAAAATACTTCAAGAAAAAAAGAATGAAACGACAACATGAACAACTGGAGCATTCAGATCCAGAATTAAATCTGGAAGGATCATCGTCTTTTGATACAAAAGAAGAATAGATAACCAAAGATACACTAGGCGCAGAGAACACACCAGAACCAACGGTAAATCAGACGATTCAACAGTTAGTTGCGACACATGCCGTATAACAACCTCTCTGCATCACTTTTTCCTCAAGGCACAACTTTGTTTACATGAAAATGGGCCTTATTCATCTTCTTCCTATATTCCACGGGCTTCCTAGGGAAAGTCCACACAAATATCTCACAGAGTTTCATATGGTATGTTCAAGCATGAAACCTCAGGGAGTATATGAAAACCAAATAAAACTACATGCTTTTCCTTTTCTTTATCTGGTTTAGCCAAAGAATGGCTATTTATTTACCTCCCAATTCTATAAATACTTGGGCTGATTTAACTCGAATTTTTCTTGATAGTTTTTTCCTAATAGCAAAAGTAAGCGAATTAAGGAGAAGCATTATGGGAATAAGACAAATAGATAGAGAATCACTTTACAATTACTGGGAGCGATTTAAGAATCTTTGTGCAAGCTGTCCACAACACGGATTATCCGAGCAAACACTCCTCCAATACTTCTATGAAGGGCTGCTTCTAATGGAGATGAAAACTATAGACGTACTAGTGAAGGAGCTATTGTGAACAAAACACCAGCTGCAACAAGGGAATTAATTTCGATAATGGCTACCAACTCTCAGCAGTTTGGCACTTCAAGTGAACTCAGCCGACGGGTTCACGAGATAAGTACTACTTCCTTAGAAAACAAAATCGATAAATTAACCGATGTAGTTAATTCTTTGGTTGCAAGAAAAATTGGATCAACAAAATTATGCGAAATATGCACAATACTATATCATCCGACAGACTGTTGTCCAATACTTCAGGAGAAAGTTGGCGCAGAAGCAAATGCTCTACCAAACTTTTTGAGACCTCACCAGAGACCCTATACCCATACTCCAATATTTATAATCCGGGATGGAGAGACCATCCAAGTCTGAGTTATGGGCAAAGCACAAGGTAGAATCAAGTCAATCAGCAAAGGCCCTACAAACGTTTCAACCATAAAAGTCCTCTCTGGAATCCATTATTGAACGTTTGGCCTTGTCCCAGGAAAAGTTCCAAAATCGAACCAAGGCCCATCTACAAGAATTGGATAAACAAATGTGCCATATGGCTTAAACCATGGAAAGATTACAATCACAAAGGAAGTTACCTTCTCAAACAGAGTCAAACCCAATAGAGAATGAAAGCGCCATTACTCTCCAAAGCGGTACAGTTGTCGAACAACCAGTCCCAGAAAATGTTGGCGCAAACCCAAAAAAGAATGAAGAAGATCTGAAATAAGAAGAAGAAGTTGGCGCAGATCCCCCTAAGGAAAATGAGATTGAAGAAAATCCCCAAAGAAAGAAGAAAAAAGTTTCAAAGCCTGAACCGACACCATCTCCCTATGAAACTCCGCCACGTTTTCCTTACATATTAGTAAAAAGAGACA